TTACCATAGCTAAGATTTGGAACCAACCCAGATGCCCCTCAGTAGATGAATGGATCAAGAAAATGTGGTATATACACAATGGAATTCTATGTCTCCATCAGAAAGAATGACATTGCCCCATTTGTTAGGAAATGGAAAGACTTGGAAAAAATTATATTAAGTGAAGTAAGCCAGGCCCAAAGAAACATAGGTCCCATGGTATATGTCTGAGTCAAGTAGAAAAGGTCAGATAAGTTGATGGTAGGGGAATGAACCCCAAGATAAGTATTCAAATGTTGTTTTGTTTTTTTTTCCTTTCATGCAATTGTTTCTAACATATCTATAAGATGATTTCTATGCTGCTTTGTACATCCCTCCCCCACGGTATAACCCATGCTTTCACTGTATTTGATGTTGGTATAATTTGTGGAGAGGAAGGGCAAAAACAAATAATTTAACTAGGGATACAGGTGGATCCATTGCAACAATGAGATGTACAAGTTGTTATGTCGAAAACGAACTTTACAACTTTGGTGGGGGGGGTGGGGAAAGGATCAGGTGGGGGAATGGGGGAGTATGGGAAGGAATGGGAAGGGGAAACAAAGAGAAGGCAACAATGCTTGATAAGAAATATACTCATTATCTTGCCCATGTAATTGTAACCCCTCTGTATGGTATTCTCACAATAAAAATAAATAAATAAATAAATAAAATTTTAAAAAAAGAGAGAGAGATGGAGAGAAAGAGACAGACAGGAACAGAGACAGAGACAGAGAGAAAAGCTGAAAATAATATTTAGTATTTGAGTAACCTATGATTTGTGATTCCAATGGCCAATTGAGCATGTAAAGCAGACAATACCATGGGAAGGTGCATGCTCAAAGCTGTCAAGCAAATGAGAGAATAATAATAACCCCTCATAAGCCTGTTCAAACTAAATCATAAATAATGTGGAATATTCAAACATACCCTACCACAACTTTTCCCAAGCTGTGTTATTGTCTTCTAGATTCTACTTCCAATTTTACTTTCTGCAGATATATCCTGCTTAGTGATTACATGCAATCCACATCACACTTAAACTGGGTAATTGAGTTAAAGGACCAAACCTCTAACTAAGTAATATTATTTCTTTCCCTAGAAACTCCTTAGTTCCTATCCATCTTTAAAGAATGTGTCCCAGATATCATATCTTAAAGTCTACCTTTATCAAGTAATTACTTACGCTTATTTCCTCTTTCCATCCTCACAGCATTACTTATATCCCTGTGACTTTGTTTCGCAAGTAGTTATCATAGACTTCTTGGTCAATTACAAGCATTTGGAATATAGACATAATGTACACCTCTCTTTCTTATCCATAACTGATATTTAAGAAACAATTAGAACATGTAAGCTGCCAACAAGCGTTACTGATACTAATGGATAAAATGGGCAAAAGTCAGTAGGAAGAGGGCACATTTTTTACTAGACAGTTACCTTAGAAATGATATTCAACCTGTGAGCAACAGTATGAGATCTTAGATTGAAGTAATATATCTCCAATTCTAATGTGTACAAAAACCACTCATTTATCTGATTAATCTGTCCCAAGAAATACTATGTGATTTGATCTACCTTGGACCAACACAAGTAGGATGGGGCTATTCATTTAAATTTCTAATATGTTCATAGATGTAGTGGCTGAGTAGAGGGCCACACTGTCAATACCACTACTTTAAGGAGTTAACTTAATGTCTGGATGCCTGGATGCAAAAATCCACTATTACATTTTACTGGTTTCATTTTTATCTATTTATTCATTTAACTTATATCAGTGGTACTTGGGTTTGAACTTAAAGATAGGCAAGTGCTCTACCATTTGAGCTATGCCCCTCAGTCCTGGCTTTTTGATCTTAAGTTACCTAATCCCCAACTTACTTATCTATAAGATGGAAGTAATAACAGAAATGTGTTAGGACTGGCAACTAAAATAAGATACTTAAAACATTCTGCAGATCATATTTATTGCATAGTATGTGTTCAGAACACGTCAGTGTATTTCATGGCATAAATAAGTGGATGAATTTCCCCATAGCTGGAGCCATTAATATGTCTCGCAGGGTAACTCTGGTTCATTCATTGCTTTGGTAATGGGAATAGCTTTGTATTTATTTAAATATTTGGAAAACATTATAACAAATATAATTTGTAGGGCTAGGAATGTGGCTCAGTGATAGAGAGCTTGCCTACCACGCATGAAGCCCTGGGTTGGATTTCTCAGTACCACATAAACAGGAAAACCCAGAAGTGGTGCTGTGGCTCAAGTGGTAGATTGCTAACCTTAAGCAAAAATAAGCTCAAGGACAGTGCCCAGACCCTGAGTTCAAGTCCCAAGACTGGCAAAAATTAATAGCAATCATGTGATAATTAAATGATTTAAATGTCAGTGCTCATTAACAAAGTGTTACTGGATCAAAGCCATATATATGCATTTATGCATTCCCTCGGATAGACAGCAGACCAAAGGGTTGCTATGACAGGTCTAGGGCCAGCATAACCTGCAATGTTTACTGCCCGTTTACATGGCCTAATGGAGCACTAAGTCAATTTATCAGTGATTCACCCTCTGGGTAGCCATTCGCAGGCAAAGTCACTGGGACTAGTACCATAAATCTATGTTGTTCTCCAAGGTAATAATTCTATTGGCTATAGTTTATCTTGTAACAGTACCAAAGGAATGAAGGCTTCTGAAGAACCAGATAAGGGGGAAAATGAGAAATTAGATGAATTTGAGAGGTACATGGTAAAAATGGGATAAATAAATATCAAAGCTTTTCAGACCATGGAATGCTAGTAGATGTCTCAACCTACTTTCCAAAAGCAGTATTTATTATCTTTTTCTTTCTGATTATAAAAGCAATACATGTTTATGGAATTTGGAGAATACAAGAATGTATACAGAATATACGTCCGTCAGATTCTCTGGACTAGTAATCACCACATTTAAACATTTTTGTCTTTACAAAATTGATGTTAGTGTACAAAATGATTACATATCTTTAAATGTGATACTTTTCCAACATCCTCACATCATCTCTGAAAACCATTTTAATGTCTACCAACTCTCCAGTGCTTGGATATGCTACCATCCATTCAATCATGGCTGTCATGACTCAAGCTCAGGTTCTTTTAAGGCCTTCCTTGTTTATATTTGTAAATAATGCCATAACAATCTTGCTTAAATTCCTTCATGTTTGTGATTTTTTTTCTGCTGCCATAAACTTACTGTAATAAATTTCTGGCAAAACCTGAGCAGCTTGAAATGATCAGGAAAAGGAAAAAAAGGTCAGAGACAAAAGCAATGCCAGTTGGAAGTCTTTTTATCTTAGTCTTTCTAGATTTTCCCATTATTGGCACTCAGAAAACAATTATAACTAGACATCTGCTACCACCCATAAATGATAGTAAAATTAGTGATTTGGAGAACTTCTATTTACTGTAAACACAATTAAATTGCATCTTATCTTTGACCAACCATGATTTTTTTTCTAAATACCCAATTCTCAAATTCACACCACTACAATCAGGAAAACAAATGCACCCCTTTCCCTTAGAAAAAAAGGCAATAATCTTATCAAAAATATTTTATTTACAAAAAATCAATTATACTATACATCCTATACTGGAAATACATTGAATAATTGCTAAAATAAATACAGGCAATTAATTCAACTTTTTATAAGAATGAGAGAATTTAACACTTGAATGTTATCAAAGCTTAATTTAGAACATAAATAGTTAAAAAAAGACAAAGTCAAGTTTTAGTCTCACTTATTGGCATGGTATGTTTGATTCCCGGGAACATCTCTGTCAGTGAGAGCCTGAGTTTCAGAATTCGGTGTACCTTTTCTTTTGTACTCAGAAGGTAGAATGTACAGCTTCTTGTATAGGATAGATGGAACATGGCTGTTTGCATCAAAAGGAAGCAGAGAGGTGGAAAGCACACCATTTGACACTTCATGTGTCTCTGCTCTACCACAGAAGCTTTACAAAACAATTGTTCAAAGATTCATGTGTTTCAATGGCGTATTTAACACAGGTCTACGTAGCACCAGCTACAAGGTAAGGCCAATCATGTAAAAAGTCTCACTGAATCATGGAGGCCCTGTAGTAACTACACTAAGCAAGTTCAGAGTACCTGGCTCATCCCTTTTTACTGTATGTACCAGTTCATGATACCATCTATATAGGCATACTTATGAGACACAGAAACAAGAGAGAAAATGCTATTATCTATGTACTACTTCAGAAAAAATATCCTTCCTGGGAAGTAAAACAGGACAGTCAAAGCTTAAATTTTCCCAAGTTTGAATCAATATTATTTTATGTTTATTATAATTTATTCACTTTACCCATGTAAACATCAATTAACATGCAATGTGAATTGGCAAGATTAAAAACAATACATCAGTGAAACTTGTCTCTCTCACACACACACACATATATATACATGGATCCAGTGAATTCAGGCCACAGAACAAAACCTTTGATGAACTGCATTGAATTTATCCAAATTAAATAGGTAATTTTCTACTTTCCTTTTATTACTTGACCCGGACAAAAAAATTTCCATAATCTCTAAGGTCATTCATCTTTAATACTCATGTTTGTCCTGTGCTGTATGATGTCTTTCAAGGAGTAGCATTCTCTTTTCTTTTCTAATCTTATGGGAAAAATTGCACTTTTCTACCCCCTTGGCCTTGATTTTTTGTAATTTGTTTTTGTACATACATAAACATGTATGTTTACTCCCAAAGTATGACAGGTTTATTGGCCTTTGCTAAGAGAAATGAAAACAGAAGGTTAAAATACTGAAAGTTTCAATATGTTTTCACAGAAATAAACTATTCAATTGTAAAAGGAAAAGAAAGATACATTTTATTCTTTCTATCATGAACATCAGTTAACCAAGCTTCACATTTTGGGCAGGGTTTTTTTTTTAAGTATGAATTTTTTCAGAATCTATTATAAAAAAGAAGAGAAAACACAAGTGTATTTTGGCAGAAAAATAAAATATAGAGTATGTAAAATTTGTCTTAAAAATTGGCATACAAAATTTAAAAACACAGTACAATTATATCAAAATACAACACAGCCATCGGCCTTGAAGATTTCCTTTGGCATTCCATTTGGTAGAGTTAAACAGAAAATCCTTCCTAAAAATGAGTAGCTAACAAGAAACAGTCCATAAGTTAGGTTGTATAGGTTGAAAGAACTTTTCCTTGAGTTTTCCAAACTCCTTTTCTTCCATGATGGCCCACATAAAGCTAGTGAGGTATTTAGGGCAAACTCTGTCAGGCAGATGTACAGTAAGGGAAAAAAAGTGCATTAAACAAAGAATTTATCTCATTTTCATAGAAATGACAGGTTACATCTGAGTTTCTTCTTATTGATGCATCATATTACTTTGGCAGAATTAAAACAAAACCCAATAAAACATCTTTGTTCAAGTCCCAGCAGCAGTGATATGTCTCCTTTGGTGGCATGATCTGATGCCACAATGCTGTACAGTCCCTAGGTGTACACATCCCTAAGGCAGTGTGGTGTGAATGTGTGTGTGTGTGGTGTGTGTGTCCAGAAACAACTAATGTACGATCATACATCAAGCACCATATCATATGGTTGTCCCTTCTTCCTCCTGCCACATTTATTGATGAGAACCACATAGAGCGTCAAAAGCATGACCCAGTAGCATGCGTAGACTAAGCTTCCAACAATTAGAACTGTCTGCTTGGATTCTGAGAATGGCTTCTTGGATTCCTTGTAAATGGTGAAAATCACACCACCTAGGAGGATTGTAAACCATATGGAGACTGGAATGAGTCCTATGAAGTTAACAACAATAGTTTTCCTTCCAGATGTGCCCCACCCAGCTTTGTTTATGGTTGCAATCGCAAACATCTTGGCAGGAAGTAAACTTGACATGTATAACACTGAGTAGAGAGACATAAACACCATGACAATATTTCCTCTAAGGCAGCTGGCAAAAGATGATTTTATGAGACCTACTAGCTGGACGGTTAATAAGAAGAGAAGGATGTTCCAAATTTTACCCCGGTAGAAAAGCTGAATTACTGTGGCAATGAGAAAGAAAGGAAAGAATCCAGTGATAACCGCTTCATAGGTCATCCACAAGTGATGTTTGTGAAACCACATTGCGTTGTATAGCCACTCTCGGAAGTAGGACTTGCTCCAGCGGGTCTGCTGGTTTAACCATCTGAGATATTCTATCGGTGTTTCGGTAAGGCACTTGGACCGAGCTGTATATTTTGTTGCATAGCCCAGACTCAGCACCCGGTTTGTTAGATGCCTGTCATCACCAAAGCTACATTGGTTGCCCATAAACTCCTGATTGTACCAGTCTTCCACAAACTCATGCAACAAGGAGTTTCTGTACATTCCCAGCGGTCCACTAATACACTGGACACACCCAAAATAAGACTGGCAGGCTCTTTCTATATTAAAAGCCATCCAGTATCTCACACTGCTGAGGAAGGAGATCCAGGAATCATACTTGTTTAAAATCTGCAAGAAAAAAAGAACACAGATGAATAAAGGTAAGCTTTAGCTACAGAATACCAAGATAACAACTGCCCTGAGATTACTACCTTGTAGGTTATCTGTTACTATATGCTCTAAGTTGAATTTTCCTTCTCTCTTTGATATGGTTGTACCTTGCTTTCTTTTATTTTATGCTACTACATGAGTTTGATTAATTGGGGAGATGTGTTGTAATTCTTTGATGATGAACTTTTTTTTCTACTTCATGATTGTCCTCTTTCTGCTATGTATTTTTTCAATCCTTCTCTTGCTCTTATGCTAGAGCTTGAAATGTTAAGTTTCCATTCTCAGACCCTAAATTTTTCTCTCTGACCCTTTTTTTCTACTCTCTATGACTAGAAGGCTTCTAAGTGCAGTCTCTCCTATTCCAGTAAATTTCCAAGTTATCCAATTTGTAGCTGTTAATTTTCATTCTCAATTTTCCCTATATAATTTGTAATGCCATGCCAGTGATAAAAAAAGAGCTTTCTCTGGCCTTCCCATAGAATTTGAATCTTGAAATATTTTTTAATTAAGCCTATTGAAAAATATGTTTCTCCTTATTGGCAATATTCCTACATTTCTCTTCTGTCTCACTTTTATTCAGTTTGCATCCGTTTTGTCACTAGCTGTGTCTTTGTTCTTCCTGATAAAATTTCTTTGCCTTCTCTGTGGACATGCATATACAAAATAGGTTCTTCAGACACAAATTTTAGGGTCTATTCCATGTCCTTCTCACCTTTTGCTAAAATTCAAATTCTTGTTTTCAAAATACTTATTGTTTAATTTTTACCTTGTCTCACATGCAAACTCTTCCATTGTGTAACATTCAAATTATGTTCATAAGTACTTGTTTTACTAATTGTTTCTCCATTAGTAGTAAATGATGGGTTATATGGAAATCCCCCCTGTTTTTTGTTCATTTGTTTTGCTTTTCTTGCTGGCATAACTTGAGTTAGTTTCTTTTTTTCCCCTATCTTCTTCCCATTTATATTTGCAAGCAACCATATATTAGCCAGTTTTAAAATATGCAGACATAAGATACATAATCCATTCTTTACCATACTTCATTTCTTTATGCTTGTAACCAAATAAACTTCATGTATGAGACTCTAACAAAACATTTAATATTAAATTGTGGCCCAAGGATGCATGCTTGGAATCATTACATATATTATGTTGCATTCAATTTGATGAGCCAATTACAGATGAGGGTTAATCAAAGAAATCAATCTGGATAGGAAAACAAAAGCAGGGAAGTTGAAATCCCAATGTATCTCTAGCATCAAGAACAATGTCTGGCACAGAGCTGGTACACAATAAATATATATTTGAGGACTCAATGACTAAGAGTGTCATTAGAAGTATGTCATGCAAATAAATAAAGCAATCATACATACCTGGACATCTCCTCCAACTCCCCCAACCATGGGGTCTTCTTCTAAAACTTTTACCATCTCCACAGATGAGGCAGGGTCAAGCATTGTATCTGAGTCACACACCTACAGAGAAAAAAGTAGAACATGAATTTAAAAAGGAAGAAAGCTGGGCGCTGGTAGCTCATGCCTATATTCTTAGCTACTCAGGAGGCTGAGATTTGAGGATCACAGTTCAAAGCCAGCCCGGGCAGGAAAGTCAGTGAGACTCTTACCTCCAAGAAACTACAGATAACCAGAAGTGGTGCTGTGGCTCAAGTGGTAGAGTGCTCACCGTCAGCTGAAGAGCTGAGGGACAGCACCCAGGCCCAGAGTTCAAGCCCCACAACTGACAAAAAAATAAAAGAAGAAAGGGCTAGGAGTGAACACCATACAGTCAAAATTGGGAAGAAACACTGTTCCTTCAGCCTTATTGGCACAATACTGGAGGCATGGCAGAGCATTTAGTATATCACGTAAAGTTAAATAGTTTGTCTTATAATGGGCTCAATATTTAAGTTAATGAGACGGACAAATAAAATAATTAGAATAACATGGTAGCCAGTTGGTCAGAAATGTTCCCAAGGTTGGCAATAAAAATCTTGTGCCCAAATAACCCTTCGGTCCTGTCAAATTAAAATGGTTATTCACACTAGAGTTCTTTTTGTTATTATTTTCCTTAAGTAATGACTTTAAACAACTTGTCCATGGTGTCTGAGTTGGAATTTTAAAATCTATAAGTATTGAGGCGAAGATATATCTAGCAGGGATTTTGCACCCCCCATTTTGATATGGTGAATGAAAGAGTTTTTCTCCATGCAACTGTACAGTTCTAAAGATGTCCATGGGACCTCTGTTTAGTAAATGGCACTGCATGAGGAAAGGATCTGGTATGAACTTCAGAACATCTCCTTATTCTTCACTATTAACTTTTCTTCTAGTTCTTTGGGCTTAAAAACAGATGTAAATCACCTGAAGCTATGATGGAATTATCTATTTTTATGCTTAAAAACAGTCATGCAATCCCGTAACCAAACCATATAACCTTAAGAATCTTATTGGAAATTGTGTGTCTGCACACTCCATAAAGACATAACTAGGGTGAACAAATGCATCAGTGGTATTCACTAGACCCTATGTTGAAAATGAGCTGTACAACTAGTGGGTTAGGACAGGAGGGAAAAACTGGGACAGTGAGGAAAGGGGTTACATTGTCCAAAAAGAAATGTACTCTAACTGACTTACACACCTGCACATCACCTTTATAATAACAATATTAAAAAGAGACATTTCTATCCCAGTGCAAAGGAAGAAGGGTAAGTTGTAAGAAGTACTTTCATTTCCAGCTTACTTGGTTAATTGATTGATGAGTTGATTGACTGATTGATTTATCACAAAAAGCCAGTCCTGGGGCTTAAACATAAGCCTTTTTGCTCAAGGTTGGCATTACACCACTTGGGCCATGCCTTCACATCTGGCGTTTGCTGTTTAATTGAGCATCATGTCTTGAAGTTTCCAACTGGGATCATCAGATCTCATTCCCCCCAAGTAGCTAAAGTTATGGATATGAGCCACCAGTACCTAGCCTGATTTCCAACCTGTTTTTTTTATTATTATTCAATTGCAAAGCTAAACAAAAGCATGAGGTAGAGAGGAGAAACTGAAAAATCATTTGAATGATTATAAAGATAGAAAAGCTGTCTGTCTTTATAATTCTGTTCCTCACTGTTGGACATAGTCCTGGATAGTATCTAAATGCGACTAACATCTTACTGTGTGTCTTTTCCAAAGGATGTAACTGAAGCTTGTTTCTTGGCAATAGCCCACTCCCAGAAGAAAGAAGCTGGTTTACTTGTTACATCTTCCATTCTCACTACTCCAATTAAACGCTTACTCAAGAAGATAGCTGGTAAAGGCCTGTTGAATGCCACCTGTGGATACAGTTGCTTTAACATTATTAGCCATGACCAGACTAGGAGCAAGGTATTCCCATCCCCTATCTGCTATACAGTCTGAAAATGCTTTGGTCTCGCCCAAAAGTGATTGAAGCCATATTCCTCACATAATGATGTTGAACCTTAAGCTGTAGAACCCTCACGGAGTTCGCAGGATTAGGATTCCTCCAATGAGTCCGTGAGTTCTAGCAAGAACTAGACTGGTTACTGTGGGAACAGATTGTTACAAGTGAAAATGTCCCTTGTTTGTTATCTTGAAGTTAGCCTTCAGCTTTTTCATCATCCTGGGACACTGAATGCAAGCCGCCACACCCTGGTACCTCCCAGCACCCAAAACAAGTACTGTAGGGCCGTAGTATATTGTTCTGCAGAGTGCAGTAAGGTACTGACAAACATAAGTTCACCAGAAATGACATATAAAACCAGTAGGATATGACCATCCAGAATAAGAATGACATGATTGGCACAGAATCAGTATCATCTGTAATCCTAGCTACTTAGGAGGCTGATATCTGAGGATTTTGTTTCAAAATCAGTCTGAGCAAAAACCTTCAAGATTCTATCTCCAAAACAACCAGCAAAAAGCTGGACTGAAGGCATGGCTCCAGTTGAGCAAGAAAGTTGAACGAGACCCTAAATTCAAGCCCTTGTACTTGCTAATAATTATAACAACAACAACAACAACAACTATTTTTAAAGTACCTGTGTCAGCCCCATTAATAGCTTTATATTTTGAAAAAAAATTCTTGTTAAAAAAATGCTGGCAAAAACACTTACATAAACAACACTCTGGGAATTTAAGAAATGAAGGCATGCAAGGGACATCTAGTTAGAAATGTATTACCCCTCTAGATTTAACTAATTGCAGCTATCTGAGGGTTAAATTCTATATTTAAATTTTTTTCTCTTGCTTATTTAGAAGCATTCATTTTTTTTTCAAAACAAAAACCTGTCTGTTGTTTTTTTGGCATTGCACTTAGGTTCAGCACGGTCTTGTTAATTTTAAGGTGGAAAAAAATAGGCAGAAGCCAGCCAGCCTACGTTTTCCACACTACAAAGTAGGGCTTTACGAACACTCAGTTTAAAATCCAAACATTTCAGGCATCAGGAATCTCCACAAAGGCAACTGTAAGTGGTGTTTTGCCTCTTCTTTTCCTTGCCTATCACAAGTTTGTATTACAGGTACAAGCTGGGCAGGAAGCCCTACAATAAGGGTAGAGAAAGGTGAAGGCAGAAATCCACTCCCCCTTGAAAACCCAGCATCCCTACGAGTCACACCCACCTCTATTGACTTACACTGGGAAAGGTAAAAACCAGAAAGCTAAAATAAGCTTAAAAACAACAGGAAGGGAGCAATCCAGACTTAATGTTCAAATAACTCATCTTGCTTCTGACCATAAGCCAGCCGCCAGAGAAACAGCCACTTTGAAATGTCTAAAGTCAAACCAAATTTCTGATATCCCACATATTTAAATTGGTCTCTGCCCTTCCCATTTTCCTAATGCAAACTGTGAGAAGTTCTATGAGAAAGATGGTGAGCTTGGCAATATCAGCAGACAAGCTCTCAGTAATCTTTTGAGGTTTGTTATCAACTTTTTGTTACAACTTTAGTATATTTCCATTTTGGGATACGGAGTCATTCAATCAGAGTCAATTAGAAAGCCAATCTGTCAAAGCAGGTAAATTCAAGGATGTGTTGTCATTTCAAGGATGTGTTGTCATTTTCTTCATTCCATTCTATTATGGTCTGACAGGATTTTCTAGTTGTTTCCTCACAAATAATAAGTATGCAATTTTATGAATGGTGATTATTTAGCTCTGGACTACAATCTAGGAGAGATACATCTGAGTTCATGAAAAACTGAACTCCATCAAAAGAAAAGTTACACAGGACATAACTTGCAGACAGGAAAAAAACAAATAGACTCTGAGGGTACCAATACGACTTGGTCAAAATCATGTGATCAAGTATCACTAGTGAAAAGGATTCTCACAAGGAGATAGGAACATGAAACCAACTCACAATCATTGGGAAAAATAAGCCACCTCAATTTTAACCCAGAATCCATTAAAGGCTCTAAAACTTCCCCTTTGCCTGTTTCCCCATGTTAGCCACTATCTCAAACTGGCAAACTAAAGTCTGTGGATGAAGTCTGACTGTTTTGATAGGGCCTAGGAGGTAAGGATGGTTTTGTATCTTTAAATAACTGACCAAAAAAACAAAAATCAAAAGAAGATTTTTTGTGTGATGCATGTAAATTCTATGAAATTCAATTTCATTATCCATAAATAAAGTTTTATTGGCATCCAGCCATGTTCATTTGTTTACATAGTCTCTATGGCTGCTTTCATACTTCAACAGTAAGCAGCAGCCATGGCAAAGCCTACTATTTATTTTCTGGCCTTCGCAAGCAAAGTTTGCCAATGCTGGGTTCAAAATATTTAGTCACAGGAGAAAGGTTCTGCTTTCATAAAACCAACAAAAACAGTGAGATCAACTGGCTTAAATCTAGTAGATCTATCAAAGATGCCTCCATTCCAGGCAGTAGAAAGATGGCTACATGAAACACAGAATATTAAAACTACCATAGATTTCCTCCAGTCAAATCCTTGCCAATTTTAAGAACAAGTGCCTACAGGAAAAAAATGCCTGAAGTCTAGAGTCCTGTAACTTACTATGTCTATGACTATCAACAAGTCATTTGCTACTGCCATGGGACATTAGTAAAAACACCGCATATAAAAAGCACTTTTGGAGTTACAAAGGACTTACTGAGAAGTAGGCTCTTAATAAAAATAACCCTTGAACTTTTATACTCCTTTATGTGCCCAAATCTAAATGATCACTGGCAGTCATTACCACCTATCTCAATACAGAAAACTGACACAAAGAATAAAGATCAATCCCATATGGAAAAATCTCAACCTGGTATCAGTTGCTCATGTATGTAATCCTAGGCTAAGATATGAGGATCTCTGTTGGAAGCCAAGCTTGGATAGACAAATCTGAGGGATTCTTATTGCCAATTAACTAACAACAGGCCAGAAGCAGGGAAATGGCTCAAGTATTACAACACCAGCCTTCAGGGAAAAGCTAAGCAAGTAAGTATGCAAGACCTTAAATTCAAGCTC